TATATATATAATAAAATTATGAAAAATGAGCATAAATTATAATAATTAAATCATTTATTTTAATTGCTATTACTAATTTTAATGTTTTTTTTTTTAAATATAGTTCTATACTTAAAAATTAAATGTATCATAATTGCCCTTACGAGGAACAAACCTTCCTTTGCTTTTATTTTATTTTCGTTTCTCCTGAGATTGCGATATGCATGGAATGCATGCTGTCGCCATGCACGACTTTGATAAAGCACGCGCGGATGAGACCGCCGTGTAGCGGTTCAAGGGAACATGGCGGGCCGGCCGGCTCATCCGGTTGGGCGAGCACCCGACACAGTGGGCCCCCATGTCGGCCACGTGAGCAATTGCCAGTTGTCATTCCCGGCGAATTACGTCAGATGACACGCGGCGAGGGGATATAGGAGAAGCGTGCATGCGGTGGGGAAGTGGGTGAAGACAAGGGGATTTGGCTGATTGCTTGCATGATGTGAGGACCGGAGCTGGCTCCGTCTTATGCATGAACCCGGTCTACTTTCCCTGGCCTTCAATTGCGTTGTGGGGCCCACATTACGTCATTGTTTTTTTTTTTTTTTGTTATGTTAATTGTATTTTTGATAGTATTGTGATAGAACTGTGACGTAATAATAATACAATGCAACAAATACTATCATGAATAACATCAGTCGTACATATGTTATCCAGATTAGTATTTTCTCATGAATCACACTCACGAAAAATAAAATAAGAGGAGAGTGAAACGTACAAAGAGAAATGAAATATCTTCGTATATTGTTTTAATAACCTCTATTATATTTAATAAACTTATATTTATAGAGGCTATAGGATTATTGTGAAATGACAAAAGTCTTCTTGCTAGTCGGTTTCTACTCAAGCAATCTCTGAGTCTATCAACCTCTGGGTCAACTAGCCCTTGGTCTGCTGCTCAATTAGTCTGTGATCGATCGTTACTTCAAGTTGGTATTGCGAAGTTTGTACAATAAATATGACGATAGGATAAGCATGGACTTACATAAGAAATAATAAAAATATTTAGTTGATGCAAGAGAAATTGAACTCTTTTGTAATAAACAAATTAGAGTTCTAAATGATGACTACAAATAATATAGCACGTGCTATATTATTGATCATTTAGAACTCATTTAGTAATAACATTTTCTCCCATATCTTTCTTCATTGTTATTTTCGTTTGACCATAAATATTTAGAGAGATTATATATATATATATATCTAATGAAGAATTAGTTTGCGGCAAATCAATGTCTTTAAACTAAGGTTTGGACCTCAGTGATGCTTATTATTTGTACATATAAAAATAAGTGTTTATAATATGGATCATAAAAATATAAATATTGAATCCTTCTAGGGCTTAGGGGCCTATATTATTTGTGAGTTCTTAGAAACCCGGTAAAGATGTTTTAAAGAGAAAGATATGGGAGAAAATGATGAACAAATTGCTAGAGCTCGTGCTTCTTGCTTTGTATTTTATTAGGAATCTCGGTTGACTAGAAGTTAACTCAAAGAAAAGGTTTTTGCTTTCGAGCCCCGGGAGACGAAGGAGTGTGTGTGCGTGTGCGCGCGCGTGTGCTTGAGTGTGTGTGAGAGAGTCTGAGATAGGATTGTCAAACAAGCTCGTTGTTCGTGAACAGCTCGTGTTCGACTCGTTCGTTAAGTAAACAAACTGAATACTAACAAGTTTTTAAAGCTCGAGTTATAAACGAGTCGAACACGAATAACTCTTTGTTCGCTCATGTTCGTCTCATTTTAGCTCAGAAATAATATATATATACATATATATATATAATTATTTATATAATAATATATTACATATATTATTTATATAATAATATATTATTAATATTTATATCTAAATTTAAATCATAACATCTAGTGTGGTAATGTGGTTAGTGTCTTCTTTTGTATGCATTTGGTACAAGTTCGAATCTCACACTTCACATTTATTTTTTTCAATTTAATTTTTACGATTCAATTTTGAGCAGAACACGAACACGAATATTTAAATCGAGCCGAACACAAACACATTGTTCACTAGCCGATTTCGAACACGAGATATATCGAACGAGCTGAACTTGAGCCCAGCCTGAGCTCGCTCAAGTTCGGCTCGTTTACAGCCCTAGTCCCAGAGGTCATTTTTCTTTTTTGACCTTAGATTCTTCTAAAAACTTCATTACAAAATATATATTTTTTCAAAAAAGTTAGACCGTAGCTTTCTAGGAGTCACTGCATGTAGCTAAATTTAGTCGGAAAATACAACTAGCTGCAATTATTTGAGAACGTAAACAAAATACAATTTTGTCAAACAAAAGATATTGTATTGTGGCTGACACTGCCGCCTCAAACACACCCTAAATCTTTCATATTAATAATAATAATAATAATAATAAGTTGGACTTTTATTCTCATAAAGCATGCATAAGTCATGAAATTTGACATATCAAGATTGATAGGAAGAATCCATCCAGATTAAGAGCATCTCGTGTTCCACCATACTTCTCTGCTTGAACATTCAGATAAGCATGAATACATACTTAGCGGAAGAGAGAGAGAGAGAGAGAGCAATTTTCCTTAACAATATATAGCGAAACAAAAATATATATGGATGAATCATCTATATATATGCAAAGACACATATTTAAATTTCATTTATTTATAAAATCAATATTTAAATACTAAAAAAAATAAAATTTCTAACTCATATTTTTGTATTTCAATAATTAGATCTTAAACAGTTTAAAAAATATAATAGTTCAATTGTTTATGTTTTCAAACATATTTTCCTTAAAAAGTAGAGGAAGATTTAAATACATACCATTCAATTTTTGTGTATTTACTTGTCCAACATCTAAATTCTAATTTATATAGGGGCTTTTACATTCAAATGTACTCAAAACATACAATTTATAGGTAGGGCTGTCAAAACGACTCGTTGTTCGCGAACAGCTTGTGTTCGTATCGTTTTGGCTCGAAATACTACTCATCACTTGCGCGCGCTATACTAAAAGTATTAATTAAGAAAATAAAATAAAAAAATATTAAATTAGATTTAAATGATGTATAATCTTTAAATTTTATTCTAATTTTCTATAATTTATGATTGTGTGATTAGGATTGTCATGAGTTGATAAGGATGTATTGGATCGCAGCCCTACAAACACACGTCACACGTGTTCCCCGTGGTGGAAGTACGTGCCAAAGTCAAAGCTATTATTATTTTGTTATTTTTGGAAGAGGGTGTCAAAGTTTGCTATGCAGAGTGCATGATGATATCTATAAGAAGTAATTAATGGCCGCAATTAAATAATAGAGAATATTTTTGGTCGGGAGATTTTACAATCATATTATAAATCATAATTATAATGAATATAACTTGCTGATAATTAAAAAAATGTTATAAGAGAGCATATGTATGAAAAATGAAGGGAGCTGCCTGGGGGAAGCCAACGGCGGCACCGGTGGCTGTCGAGCAGTGGTTGAGCTAGGGCCTTAAATGAGCCGGGAGCTTGAGCGAGCTAGAGCTTGGCTCCCTGTTCGGCTCGTTTGAAATTGCTCGTGTTCGAAATCGGCTCCTGTTGGGCTTGTTAAAATTAAACTGAAAAAATAAATGTAAAGTGCTGGATTCGAACCTGGATCAAGTATATGCAAAACGAGGCGCATAACCACATTTAACACAAGAGCGG